TATATCAATATTTCATGTTTTTTTTTTATAACAATAATAATAACAATAATTTTGTTGGTCTTTTTCTTACAATTAATCTTCTTTGACTGTGTTTATGTATACAAAATATACACAAAGGCAAATTGCTCATATATGTGTAAACCTACTCTGCTCTACTCTGATTCTGATACATAAATATGGATATGTGTGAAAGGTGTGCACGTTTCCTCAAAGATAAGAAGCATTTTTCCATGACACACATAAAAGGCAGGCATGTAAACAGTATGTGTACACAGTGTGAACACATAGTACATATTCACAGTGTGAGGGGCCATGTGGTGTGTTATCAGGCTGTTTCCACGATACACAAAGGGCGGCTGGCAGCACGGGGATCAACAATAGTGAGGATCTGGTGTTCAACATGAATTTAACAGGCAGGATATTTCACAGAGTTGATTATTAACACCTCATAAGGGAGGACTCTTATGCCCGCCGGTCCCACACCCTTTAAATACACGGCAGTATATCACGAACATGTCTCTGTCAGAAGTTGATAGGGAACTTCCTCTACTTCCTGAGTTTAGGAAATACCAGGGCTGCCTTTGAAATAATCAGGTCCTGAGTCTTTTACCCACCACTTTTTCTTAACTACAGTGAAAAAGGCCATGGGTTGAAGGTAAGATTCATCAGGATTTTGAAAAATAAAACGGTGGTCCTATGAGAATAAGACTGCACTTACACTAGGCAACGTAATTATGACGGGACAGTGAGTTATTGTTGAACTTCTGCTGTGGGAAAACTACAATTTTCCAAAGATGGCACAAGTGCGTTTTTATGCTGTTATAAATAAAAGTAGCTGAAGAAACCCAAACCAAATTAGTTCACACCTTAAAATGTTGACACCATTTGGTAATTTAAAAGGAAAGTAGAGTACACTGTAAAAAATGCTGCTCCAAAAACAAGTTAAAGAATAATGAAAACAAGCCGTTTTCACTTGAAATAAGTACAAAAATCTGCCAATAGAACAAGAGAAAATTAGCTTGGTAAGATTTCTTGAAATAAGAAGGGATATTTAGATAAATCAGATCTTGTAATTAGCTGGGAGAACTCATTTTTTATTATATTTGACCAGAATCAGGACATTTTGTGTTAGAATATGAGCCGTAAATGCTCAAAAGTGTTCTGTTTCCTGATGTTAGTTGGTGATTTTCTAATAAATATGTGAAAAAATATGTGTTTCATCTGACTTAACAAGATGAGGCATTGTCTAAAAACAAGACCCGATATCTCACTGCAGTGTTACTTCTGAAGTTATTATGTCTTATAGCAAGTGTAAAGACATATTCTGACTAGATATTAGACAAATATACTTGGCAAGATTTCGAGTTTTTGTAGAGTAACGTTCATAGTTTGCCTCTTGCTGTAACATAGTGTTAAAAGTTCAAAACATACAGATGCTTTAGCAGGTAATGCTAAAGAACCGTACATTTTATGATCTGTATTTGTCTGTCCAGATTGGTTCATTCAGAAAATGACTGAATGGTGTGTCACTTTAAATGTTGTGAGCACAAGGAATTAAGAGAGAATTATCTCTTACTGTATCTGTCTATTTCACTGCAAATAAAATGTGTTTTGCATATTCAGCTTTCACAGTAGGCTACTAGTTTCACAGTATTGGCACTAACTACAGGTGTACTGTGTGTATTCAACAACATGTGGGATAATGATTTATTGTATGTAAGATTGTGCTTTTTCTTTTCTTTAATCAAATGCCACATGGAGGACTTAGCTGTGGAGCACTTTCTAAGAATTTACATATGCCTATTTCATTTTCACTGTAAAAGAAAAGGAATACAAACTCCATTCTCAATAATAGCCTACATCATTAAAAAACAAATATTAGTTTAGTCACACTTTATAGAGCCTGGAACCATGGGAGGGGTAATTTATTTAACTCTATATACAGTAGTTTGCATTTATAATTAATCAAACTTGATACAAACTTATGGCATGATCTTTTCAAACAGCCATTATTGAAGACGTTTCCAAAATAAAATCAAGGACTCCATGACAACGTTTTTTTTGTAATTTTCCGTATGTTATTCCCAACTCAGGTCATTACATCTAGTCCTTTGGCCCTCCTCTTCCTCAGCTGTTGGCAGTAACTAATTTCATGTCATTAAACAAGAGACATGTTTGGTCAGGTAGCAGTGTGTGTGTTTTGGTGTTGGCTCCTCTGCTGCTGAATCATTTCCGTGTGTGTGTGTGTCGTACAGTGGCTCACTCACTGTTGGTTCAAATGAATCATGTGTTTGAAGAGCATTAACGATGTATATCATTTGGATTTCAAGTGTACTGTGAGAATTGTGTGCAAGAGAAAAATTAAGGATACACCTTTTAATACAATGTTAAAGTCTTTCGGTGGAAATCCGGGTTCTGTCAGAGGTGGTGATTAATCTCAAGCTAGCTGTTATAAGCTAGCTGTTTCAGGCTAGCAGCCGTTTCAAGCTATGTTTGAAGCTAGCTGTTTGAAGCTTGCCGTTTTCCTGGTTCAGGGGTTAAGGTCAGCTGGTATTAATAAAATATATACAAACATAACATCAAGCTCTTGAGAATATTGTATTATAATATTACTTCAAATTAAGTTAGCATTACAAGCTAGTTGTTTCAGGGTAGCAGCTGTTTCGAACTAGCTATTTCAGGCTAGCAGTGGTTTCAAGCTATGTTGGAACAAGCTAGCTGTTTGAAGCTTGCCGTTTTCCTGGTTCAGGTGTAAAGGTCATCAGCTGGTATTAATAAAATATATACAAACATAACATCAAGCTCTTGGGAATATTGTATTATAATATTACTTCAAATTAAGTTAGCATTACAAGCTAGTTGTTTCAGGATAGCAGCTGTTTCGAACTAGCTGTTTTAGGCTAGTAATGGTTTCAATTTAGCAGTGGTTTCAAGCTAGCTGTTTGAAGCTTTCTGTTTTCGTGCTTTCGGTGTTAAAGTCATCAGCTGGTTTTAATAAAATATATACAGACATAACATCAAGCTCTTGGGAATATTGTATCGTAATATTACTTCAAATGAATGCATATATCTCAGTGTTTTGTTAGCATTACAAGCTAGTTGTTCCAGGCTAGCAACGGTTTAAATTTAGCAGTGGTTTCAAGCTAGGTTTGAAGCTAGCTGTTTGAAGCTTTTTCCTTTTCCAGGTTATTATTATTATAAAACCTGAACCTTGTATATTTTATTATAATATTACTTTAAATGAATGCATATCTCAGTGTTTTGTTAGCGTTACAAGATAGTTGTTATACTGTAGGTTAGCAGCTGTTACGAATTAGCTGTTCTGAGCTAGCAGCTATTTCAGGTCTTAGGGCTAAGTTAATCAGCTGCTAATAATAAATCAATTGTTACAACTTCTGCATGACTTGCTGCCACATTGGTCAAAAAAGCCACAAACTCTTGCAATGTGGCAATGACAAGTTCTCAAAACTCATGACACTGGCAAAAATGTATATTTGAAAGTCATACAGGCAACTCAAAAAAGATTTTTGCAAATGAGTTGTAACTTAAAACTGCATAAGAGAAGTATTATCTAATTACACAAACTGATTTTGTTTACTGGAAATGTAAAGTAGCAATATTCTATGTTGTTTACATATCATATGGGTCAAATTAGTTATGTGTAGTGTGCAATTTGGAGGTTTTTTGTTAGCAATTTGCAGTTCTCTATAGTGTGATAAAAAAAAAAATGTTTTAGTGTCCACAACTTTCACGATTTTGGTTCGGTCCTTTGGCTCACTCGTAAAGCCTAATTATCAGCAACAAAAGGGATCTATTTTCAGCACAAATGCTCTAAAACCCACAATAAACTACTGTAAAACTAAAGTAAGCAACCTGCTGCTTAATTCTGAGCTTCAGCAGCTTCATTCTGACCTCCACAACTATGCAAAAGTATGAAAATGTGAAAACTTTAATCTTTTACTCCTTCATGTGTGCAAGTTGATAAGAGCAGGGAGTAGGAATGTGAATGACACCATGAGGAGGTCATGCTTTTTACACTTCTTGGTGAAAACAAGCACGGGCTGACTTTCCTTTTCCTTATTTCCCCGTCTTCTTTACTTTCCAAAGAAACTGCTCAGCATCTGACTGTTCCTTGATGTTTGGACAAAAATCCAATGTGGTGCCATCATTGCTGCAAGTATATCAAATATGTCTTCCAAACTATTGATTTTGATTATGTAACGCTTGTGTAATTGTTTGGACTTGCTCATAAGCCTTTCTGTAAATACATCAAGAGATTACAGAGCTACAGGAGATGCATCAGAGCAGCCTTAATTATTCATTAACTTAGTTATTTTGCTTTGACAGCTATTTTCTATGAAAGAGACAAAAATAACTACCTGAAAACGTAATCAAAACAGCCAGCAAATCATGGTTAATATAGCAACACATATAAACCCATATTTGTTTTTCAAATGTCATTTTTCCAATGTTTGTTTCTTTCTAAAATGGATCAACAATAACAAAACACATTTCCCCCCGGGATAATTAAAGTATTTTTGATTCTGATTCTCATATATTCACTATGATACTTCAGCAGCAGGTATATGTTTTCAGTGTGGCAACGTATATTGTGTCCCTATTAGTGACGTCACAATAACAGAAAGTTGATAACAATACCTGTAAAATTCCACCAATTTGATAGCACGGTAAAAAAAAAGACTGAATCCCATGCATTTCCTAATAAACTTTGTAATGAAGGTCAACAGGCCCAAATATACTTTCTTATATCTACTTTATTAGCTGTGAAAGCTGTATTTATTCAAGTTTCTTGCCTAAAACATTATAATTGACCAAACCCAATATACGTTTTTATAGAATAGAGCGAGTACCCACCATAGCGCATTTTTGTTGAACTTTGAAAAACGACCTTCCCTATTTCATATTCTATTTAAGTGTATATAGACTTCTTGCACTATTTTATTTGTTGTATTTTTGCATTTTATTATATAACTATGTTGCATTGTTGGAGGAGCTCAGGTCAGAAGATTTTCATTGCCATTTCTAAACTGTAGTTTATGTGCTAGATAGATGGATAGATAGATAGATAGATAGATAGACAGACAGACAGACAGACAGACAGACAGACAGACAGACAGACAGACAGACAGACAGACAGACAGACAGACAGACAGACAGACAGACAGACAGACAGACAGACAGACAGACAGACAGACAGACAGACAGACAGACAGACAGACAGACAGACAGACAGATACAACCACTAATAATCCCATCTTTAATCCACTCACCCAGATCTGCAGCTTGATCCTCTTGTCGTTGCGGAAGACGGTCTTGACCTTGAAGTCGATGCCCACGGTGCTGACGAAGGCGGAGGTGAAGGAGTCGTCTGCGTAGCGGAACAAGAAGGAGGTTTTTCCCACGCTGCTGTTGCCGATTATCAGCAGCTTGAACATGTAGTCGAAGTTCTGGTCGGCCGCATCCTTCTGAGAGGGCTGCTGCTGGAGCCGAGAGTCACTGGAGGCCATCTGGAGAGGAGCGAAAAGAGAAGTTACCTCTACCTGCAGGCACTGTTTACTGTTTGCTATGAAATGATATTTTCTAATCATCATCATCATCATCATCATCATCAGCAGCTTTATTGAAGAGACTCGAGGTCTAATGAGAGAATAGTAGAAGGAAGAGATGCAATGAGAAGACGGTCAGGTATATATGTTCATGTTTATTCATTTCTTATTTTAGAGTTACTTACCTGTATATAATTTTACCTTTCATTTTATCTTTCATTTTATTAATCTCTAATCTGTGTGAATTTGTGCTGTCCTGTTTTTCATTCTTACCCTGTTGCTGTTAAACTACTGAATTTCCCCACGGGGATTAATAAAGGTCCATCTTATCTTATCTTAGAGTCCAATTCAATTTAAGTAAATAGACTGTACTCATATAGCACTTTATCCAGTCTTTACGACCCCTCAAAGCGCTTTACATATGTCATTCACCCATTCACACCTCATTCATGCAGAGCACTACCACTTGCTCTAGGAAGCTAACATTTACACACACTCACACACACACACACTCACTCACACTCACTCACTCACTCACTCACACTCACACACACTCACTCACGCACGCACGCACGCACGCACCGTTGGCCATCGGGGTCAACTCAGGGTTCAGTATCTTGCCCAAGGACACATCGACATGTTGACTGCATTGGCTGGGATCGAACCAACAACCTTCTGGTTGAAAGACGACCGCACTCCCTCACAGCCACAGTTTAAGTTCGACCTTAAAGCTGGCATGATATTTATTTTCGAATCATTATCTTATCTTATTTTGTAATGACAAAAAAGCGAAATAAGTCGTTATCTTCTCAAATATCAAGATGTCATATTTTGTTCTCGAAAAACAGAGCTAAAAGAGAGTCAATACTGGACGAAGTGGACGAAAAACACCTATTATAATAAATGCTAACGTCTCTCTGTAAGATTAGATGTGTAAATACGTAACTGTTTGCAAGTAATGTTATCACATCCAGCTTAAAATGTTATGTCCAGTTAAAAAGGCCTATCACAATTTCCCAAAGCTCAAGGGAATGCATTCAAATGTCTTGTTTTATCCCCATACAGTTCTCAAACATAAAATATTCAATTCATAATGTCATGAATAAAGGAATGCAGCAAAACCTCCCAATCGAAAAGAAGCTTGAAATTCACATTTTCTTTCTGATAGATGATCAGAGCTGTTGTAGAGACAGAGATAAGGGGGGTTAAGGGAGTAAAGGATGGAGAATGGCATGCAACAAACGTGCCTGGCACTGACATTTAATCTCTTGTTGTCGACTTAAAAGTTCTGTGTGGAGTTTTGGACCACTTAGAGGAGCAGTTAGGCTAACACTTTTGCACATACGCCAGGATGCAAATGCATGATTGCAAGCTTGCAGGTGATACACTGCACATTCTTGGTGATGGCAACCGTCAAGTGTATCAATGTGCTCTGTACACATGCATTAAAGTTCAGGATAACACGGGTGTAACAACACAAAACATCTGCCAAGCTTCAATGACTAACACAACAGAGGTATTTATACAAATCAACCACCAGCAAACCACCGAGAAGAATACATTTCTCAAATTTAGATATATCCGAAACTGCATGTGATCCCTGTTTGGGTTATCAATAAGCCAGATGAGATGTTGCACTGTGGCTAGTTTTGAAAAATACATTAATGAACAAAAGTATGTTTTTTGGGGGGTAATGTTCATTATAAGCTGTAATGTCTGTAATTAATATGTTCCTAATAAATGATAATACAAAAACAAAGAAAGATACATATTGAACATTTACAAAAAAGTCCATACATCAGTCTGCAGCCCTTATTATGTGGCTTAGATGAATACTTGATGCTGATTGGTCCATTTAAAACATTCTGCATTCTTCACTAGCAGACTGTTGCTAAGGACACGCACCTGTAACCTTGGCTGCTGTGCTCTCAGTGTTTTGTCTCCCTGTTCCTGCCTGATGGCGTCAGCTGATAGAGGTGTTATGGTTCTATCTTGTTATGCACAATGTTGATTATTCTCTCTGAACTAGCTAAATACACAGGTCTGGGGTAGAGTTCTTCAGAATTGATTAAGGCATCTCAACCGTGTGGTCAACTCGTGGCCCCGTGACATGTCGTGTGAATTCTCCGGCCGAAGCTCCAAATAAACCGTCAGTGTTTGCCATCAAAGCTCCAGCTCTCCTCGTGTCTCTGTGAGTCCTGACTCCAATTGCTTCAGAAGTTTCCCCCACAAAAACAACATGGGATATTTCAAATATGTATTTTTTTATATTTGTGGACATTGTGCTGGACGACAGAGAAATCAACAGAAGAAGACAGACAGAAAGTTCAAACTAAAGTGAACACAGTCTAGCATCGAGCAGTGTTTAAAGACTGGTTAATGGAAAATATAATGTGAGCAGACTTGGACAGTTACAGTATATTTTTTCATAACACACGCATCATGTCAGTTTGTAAATCAATAAATCCATCTTTGATCAATGTGACCCTATAACGACTCCATTAAAAGGCGTGTAATCAAAGTTAGAGAGATAACAGTGAGCTATAATGTGTAGATATAGCGAACACTTGTTGATTTAAATGACGAAAAAGCTGTGCCATCTGCTTTTATTGTAACCACTCATCTCAGAGTGATCCCTCCTGAAGACAGGGATCAGGTTACCTGGCCATCACACACACACACACACACACACACACACACACACACACACACACACACACACACACACACACACACACACACACACACACACACACACACACACACACACACACACACACACACACACACACACACACACACACACACACACACACACACACACACACACACACACACACACACACACACACACACACACACACACACACACTGATCAATCTCGCTGGTGAGACTAATCTCCGTGGAGACCGGCCTCAGCTGCCAGAAAGAGCCATTAGTGGTCGAAGCAACGAGTTCACTCAGCTTTTAACGGCCAGATGGAAACCTCCAGAGCAGGAAGCAGATATCTATCACACTGATACCAGCGCCACGGATACGAAGGAGAAGAAGAAGAAGAAGAAGAGCGGAGGCTGAGAAACGACTGGGAAATCTGTGTCTTTTGCAAAAATCCATTCAAGTCCTCCCTTGTGTTAAACAGCTGTGTTTTGAAATACTCTATAAAAACTGATGGGTGCATTAGTACCGAAACACCACAAACCCTAACCGTTGTTACTCGTGAATTATTAAATACAAGAAAATATGTTTCACTAAACACATATTTCCCTTGTGTTTTCAGTGATACAACGTTTTGTGATTTTGAGCAACCTATGGATTTAAAGCTCCATTTATTTGGAACAAACTCCTTCTCTCACTGTAACTTTTATTCTTGTATTTTATCCCTGACTTTTTCTATTTGAGCTTGTTTTCTTTTATTCTCTTGGCTTTTAATGACATTTTAAAAAGGTATTTAAATGTTTTATGATTGTAATCTTCTGTAAAGCACTTTAAATTGCCAATAGCATAGGTCTCAGATATATAATAATATATAAAAACATGTCTATGAAGTGTTTTGCTCAAAATACCAAACAGATCACCCATTCTAGCCATGCCTCATATCCCTCTATTTCACTTCCTGTTTCAAAAGTGCTGATTTGGGGTATAAAAAAATTGATAAAAAATAAAAAAAGGGGTCTGAGCTCATGCGGGACCCGGCAGCTACCGTCTAAACTAAATACTGCCGTGATGAAACGCCATATCATGGATTATCAAGGATTATTTCTGAAACAGTATGGAGCTCAAAGGCTTTCTCTCTTGCCGGTTATACCACAAGGTGAGTTCCTTTTTATTTCCTGCTTCTTCACACACATGCTCTCCAGCACAGGTTAGCTCTGAGTGTTAGCGATGCTAATGTAAACACCGACCATATTACGTCCAAAACAGTCGGGCATTGTTTCTGATAGCAACGTTTCTGATTGGGCTGTGGGTCCACATTTCAGATATTACGTCATATCGGACGCAAATCTGGATCGGCTCCGTTGTTCCCCCGTTTTTAGAGATTTGGGTACGGAGGAAAAGAGAGAGGGTTTTATTTTCTGACGCTGCGTGAGTTCCCTGACACACCGGGGACACATGTTGATGTATAAAAGACATAAAAAAGTGCATTTTGCATGATAGGTCCCCTTTAAATAAGCTTGCCTTACCTTTATGAAAAATGTTTACTATCCAGGGGTTTTTCTAGAAAGATACAGTAGGAAGGCAATACTGTGGCACTGATCTTGTATATTAGATATCTAATATATATTAACGCCTGTATACAAGATGACGCCGCGGACGTAAACAACAACACAGCATCGGAGCTCCTTAAAAACAAAGCTGTCTCTGCGGTCTGACGCTCTATTTAACACGATCTTCATATTTCTGGAGTAATTATACAGTTTTTTACAGAAATATTGTTTTCTGCCATCACTTTAAAATTCTTCGGGGAAAATCTGCATTTTGGTATGAGGGCGCACGCCGAAAGTAGACAAAACCCTGCTATTAATGCAATGTTTACAAGCTTCCCAAAGGTGTGACAGGTATTAACTAACTTTGAATTAAAGTCAACCATCAACATTACCTTCATTGTCCACTCATGTGACTTCTACTAGGGCTGCACAATTACTCAAAATGTTAAAGAAATCACAATATGGACCGGTGCGATATTCGAAACAAGGTATGGTATGCCATTTTTAATGAAGTATTGTGGAGCTGCAGATATCCAGGCCAACAAAATGGTATTCTACAGACTTAATAAAACACATCTGAAAGATCAATCGCTCCAATATCATGAATCAACGTTAGCTTCGTACTTCTGGAGATAGTATTTACACCGATCAAATTGTGTAAACGAGCTTATTTATCAAACAAAAAATCCCATTGACTTTTTGTTGCCCTTAAGATGCTAACTTCTTGGAAGGCCTATAAAAATACGTCATCCTTGCAACACTCAAAATGGTCACAATGAGTTGTTGTGTTCCTAAATCGTTCAGCACTCCTTTCCACACAGTCTGCTGATGTTGTAATGAAAACTTATTTCCACCAACAAACTAAGACACGATCCTGTTTCACAACGTTACCTTATGAATGTGAAACCAAGGTACATCCCGCCCTATAACCACAATCCTTTCCCCCTAAAAAGTGCTCTCGGGGACTTACATAAAGTGCTGTGTTTAAGTCTTTCTAATCTCCAGGGACTGTGAAATCACATGACGCCGTGTCAGGGACCCTGGGGGAAATGTTTTGTGTTACTTAAGTACATTTTTCTGACGACTTTTTACTTTGACTTCTTACATGTTGAACACAAATACCTGTACTTTCTACTTCTTACATGTTGAACCCAAATACCTGTACTTTCTACTTCTTACATTTTGAACACAAATACCTGTACTTTCTACTTCTTACATGTTGAACACAAATACCTGTACTTTCTACTTCTTACATGTTGAACACAAATACCTGTACTTTCTACTTCTTACATGTTGAACACAAATACCTGTACTTTCTACTTCTTACACTTTGAACACAAATACCTGAACTTTCTACTTCTTACACTTTGAACACAAATACCTGTACTTTCTACTTCTTACATGTTGAACCCAAATACCTGTACTTTCTACTTCTTACATTTTGAACCCAAATACCTGTACTTTCTACTTCTTACATGTTGAACACAAATACCTGTACTTTCTACTTCTTACATGTTGAACACAAATACCTGTACTTTCTACTTCTTACATGTTGAACACAAATACCTGTACTTTCTACTTCGTACATGTTGAACCCAAATACCTGTACTTTCTACTTCTTACATGTTGAACACAAATACCTGTACTTTCTACTTCTTACATGTTGAACACAAATACCTGTACTTTCTACTTCTTACATTTTCCAAACAGGCTGGTTCCTTTAGTTTGAATGTGTGTTTGGTGGCGTGATCATTATTATTTAGAGTCATTGCGTGCCTATTGATTTGAACACGATCCGTGTATCCATCATTTCCTGGTCTTCTCTAAAGAAGAGGGACCAATGAAAACTTTGTCATGTTGCCGTTGTTCAGCATGGAAACATTCATTAGCTAACAATGACATTATTGTTCTATTAATATAAAGGGAGGTCAGGTACTCTTTAAAACAGCTGCTAGTTATGGGTACTTTTGACTGAAGTACATTTCAAAGCCCTCTTTACTTTTACTTGAGTAAAGAAGTTTAGTGAGTACTTCTACTTTTACCAGAGTATTTTTAAACACGAGTATCTGTACTTCTACTTGAGTAAAGGATGTGTGTACTTTTGCCTTCTCTACTTAAAGGTCCCATAGCATGGATCCAACTCCAACACGCTGCTATTTCCATCTTAATCCCGAGGGAACCCCAGTCACATGTCCTGTATGTTTACTCTGCATCTCAGGATGTCTGCAGGCTAATCAAACAGCACTTTTAAAGTCAAAAGTATTCTCTTCCCTTTTTCACAAAGGTGTCATATTAATGACAACATGTTTGAAGTTACAGAAGAAGTTGCTTAATTCTGTGGTGGGTAGTTCCCTCTAAGTATGTCAATAACTTACAAGAAACACACACACTGCTGATTCAAAGAAATACCATTAGGAAGTATTCTTCTGTTTTATGTATGATGCTTTTTGTTGTGTATGCACTGCAACCAAAACTATGTAATAATGATCGAAATGTTTACTAGCTCGTAGCTTTACTACAAACAACTTTGAGTGCAGGAATGAGTCCTAAATCCTGGAGATTAGTTAGCATTTTAGCAATTTCGCGTCTGAAAGTACTTCTTTTTGGTTAGAAGCCTGAAATGGGGTCTGTTATTAACACAAGCTGAAGAAATGTTCACGTTTTGTTCTACGACCTAAAACACACCAGTAAACATCCCACTGGTGAATGTCTGAAGCTTTTACAGGTCTTACAAACAGCGGTTGCTAACAAGTGTCTAAATGAGACGACTAAACGTCATCAGGCTGAACATTAGCCACCTTTAGCTTAGCGGTGGTGACGTGAAGTCATGTGACCGTGATGTAGTTCCTTTATAGCCTAACATTAGCTTTTTACTATTACTTTTGCACTTCAAAAAAATCATAAAAGTGGTGTTAATATGTGTCATGCTGATCAAAATGTGTAAGTATCATAAACGTGTGTTTGCCATAGATCTTATTTCCTACAATATTTCAAAACTCAATGGAAAAACCAATAGGCTTTTCGTCGAGGGAACCCGTGTGATGCTAACTTCTGTGTCGTCCTACAGAAATACGTCATCATTTCACTCATCTCTGTATCCCACTGAACAGCTGTGATGACTTTGATAAAGTGTCCCACATCAGCACCTGCCGTGAAATCCAGACATTCAACTCTTCCTCCAAAATACTGACGACAGCCTCACAGTGGAGACAATGGCAGCTACTTTATGGCACCGACTTTATCTCCAGTAAAACAAATAAAGGCCGTTGTGGTGAATAAGAGCTGATGGTGGTGCAGGTCTCTGTTTACTGACTGACCCGCAGGAAGAGAGCAGCTGTCAGAGCTCTGCTTTCATTGGGAGAGGGACGGGAACATGGAGAAAGGATCGTTTTGGTTCATTGGTGGCACATTCATATTGTTGTATGTTACCAGAGGATGGAGAAGTACTCAGATCTTGTACTTGAGTAAAAGTAGAAGTACTCAGATCTTGTACTTGAGTAAAAGTAGAAGTAGTCGGATCTTGTACTTCAGTAAAAGTAGAAGTACTCAGATCTTGTACTTGAGTAAAAGGAGAAGTACTCAGACCTTGTACTTGAGTAAAAGTAGAAGTAGTCAGATCTTTTACTTGAGTAAAAGTAGAAGTACTCAGATCTTGTACTTGAGTAAAAGTAGAAGTACTCAGATCTTGTACTTGAGTAAAAGGAGAAGTACTCAGATCTTGTACTTGAGTAAAAGGAGAAGTACTCAGACCTTGTACTTGAGTAAAAGTAGAAGTAGTCAGATCTTGTACTTGAGTAAAAGTAGAAGTACTCAGATATTTTACTTGAGTAAAAGTAGAAGTAGTCGGATCTTGTACTTGAATAAAAGTAGAAGTACTCAGATGTTGTACTTGAGTAAAAGTAGAAGTACTCAGACCTTGTACTTGAGTAAAAGTACAAGTAGTCAGATCTTGTACTTGAGTAAAAGTAGAAGTACTCAGATATTGTACTTGAGTAAAAGTAGAAGTAGTCAGATCTTGTACTTGAGTAAAAGTAGAAGTACTCAGACCTTGTACTTTAGTAAAAGTACAAGTAGTCAGATCTTTTACTTGAGTAAAAGTAGAAGTACTCAGATCTTGTACTTGAGTAAAAGTAGAAGTACTCAGATCTTGTACTTGAGTAAAAGTAGAAGTACCAGAGTGTAGGAATACTCTGTTACAGTAAAAGTCCTGCATTCAAAATGTTCCTCAAGTAAAAGTAGAAAAGTATGATCATCTAAATATAGTTAAAGTAGCGACAGTAAAAGTAGTCATTGTGCAGATTGGTCCATTTCAGAATAATATATATGATATGTTTTATAATGATTGATCATGAAAGTGTTCTCAAAGCTGGTAAAGGTGCAGCTAGTTTGAATGACTTTGTATACTGCAGGGTAGCTTGTGAATTTGATCTCAATGGGACCATCTGGTTAAATAAAGGTTTGAAATGAAATGAAAGCATGAATACAAAATAAAATGCAACAACTTTACATCTAATGAACAGAGGTGAAATGTAACATTTACTCAAAAAACTGGTCTTAAGTATAATGTTGAGGTACATTGAGGTACTATTGAGGTACTACCTGAGTATTTTCATGTTAAGCAACTCGATAAATCTACTCCCTTACATTTTAAAAGCCAATATTGTACTTTATACTCCCTTAAATGTATCTGACAGATCTTCAAATACACATCGATATATAATTATAGGTGGAGATATCCAGCAGCAGTATATAAACGCATTAATGCATCAGTAATTATAATCCAGTCAAATAATACATATGGTTCTAAAATGGGACATAACCCTTGACGTGTACTTTTACTTTTGGTAACTTTGGTATATTTTGATGCAAAAACTTTACTTGTACTTATATTTTACTTGTACTTTTATGTAAGTAAGATTTAAAATACAAGGCTTTTACTTTTAACAGAGTGTTTTTGCAATTTGGTATCACTACTTTTACTTTTTTACTGATTACCTCTCTGCCAACTAACACTTGTGCATGAAGAGAGCGAGGCATTTCTTTGTACAAATTTCACATTTATAAAACAACATGGCTTTCACATAGTTCACCAAAAATGTAATAGGATCATTTGTATACAAAAGACAGAGATGGATAGTCATTAAAATGTCTAATACATTATAATACAGTAAAGTAGACACATCAAAGAGGGTAGGGCTTTTTATGTAAATCATATTCATATGGTTATC